TATATATATATATATTTATATATATATATATATATATATATATATATATATATATATATATATATATATATATATATATATATATATATATATATATATATATATATATATATATATATATAAATATATACATACATACATACATACATACATATATATATATATATATATCATATATATAAATACTTTAAGGACTTTCGTGACGCACTGCTGCGGAGAGACAACTAGGCCAATTATTGATTAACGTGTAGGAAATTTTAGCCAACTACGTTTCAAAGCAGAACCATCTTCCCTAGAAGTTTCGAGACACCTACCCTTCAGCATATCGCCTGATTTTGTATTATATTCTTGTAGGGGAGGCTTTCCCGATGATTCTACACTCGTGTCGGTCGGGTCGCCCAGTTCAATACCAAATGACCCCATAGCCACTGACATGTGCGAGGCACACTGGAAGTCTACTTCAGAACTCCAGCTCATGTTGCTTCTATATTAACGAGCCTGAGCTACACTAATGTTTAATATACAAACACAACGACGATGAAGTCACTGTAAATATATATGTAAGTACACAAGCTGAGACTTGAGAGAAGCCATCTCGCAAACGCATTTTTAAAGTAAGACCCGATTCAAATTCATCACAAGAAGTATAGTATATTCTCCGTGATATGTGCAGGCCACAGGCCCACAGCTGAGTGCTGTCACAGCGAAATGAACAAATATATTTAATCAATTTAAATCATTAACGATGAGTCATAAATATATAAAGAATGATAACTATAGGAGGCTCCGAGGCCAGGGTTTGATCTCATTGGCTAACAGAGACTCAGGCTATTTTAGTGAATGGTTGAGACGGAAGACTCTGAAACATTCGATTCCACAAAATTCGTCAATATAATTGGATTTCGGCACGTAATTGTGTGTGGGATGCGGTTTAGCGTAAGAAATTCCAAGAATGTAAGATGTTCAATGTAGCCTGTGTTAAGTTTGGTGGTGGTATCATGTATGGTTGTATCTCTCGGTCGCTATAATGTCATTTGAATAAGTGTTCGATGTGAATTGGACTGATGTATTTATACACATCATGAAGTGTAAGGGTGACGAGGACTCCGACAATGACTGCTTAGAAGAGTTGGGAGTGAGTAATATTGAAGATTGGGAAGCAGAAATCGGGAAGTTGGCACCCCCTATATAGACGAAGTGTTTGGTGCGACATTCCCGCAGGATACGCCAGCATATACATACATGGGCCTGGGGAACACTTTTCATGTTCTCAAGCTACTACCTCTGAAAAAGTTAAAGACCCATGTGTTTATAAATTTTTGTTTGAGTGACCTACGGCCTCTATTTTAAATACACATGCACATTTCAAAAATCGAAAAATTACTATGCTTTTAGGTCACTTGATTACCACATTATATCGTTGTTCACAATATTTAAAAACAGTTTCGTTCTACTACATAGAAGGAGGCTAAAAGATATGACGCAAAATTACTTTAAAATACAGACCTGAGACCACGAAATTCCCGCGTATTGTCAATGACTCAATTAAATGTCAATAGCTTGTATTTATTATAAATACTACTGTCTTCACTCTCAACTGCAAGTCTGCAAGTCTGCAACTTTGCAAGTCTGCAACTTTGCAAGTCTGCAAGTCTGCGCTGTCTGCAGAGTGCAGACTGCAAGTCTCAAGTCTCTCTGAGTCTCAAGTCTCTCTGAGTCTCAAGTCTCTCTGAGTCTCAAGTCTCTCTGAGTCTCAAGTCTCTCAGAGTCTCAAGAAGTCATGTAGAGAAAGAACATAACCGTAGTGGTAAAACCCACAAAATAAACCCTAAACAAAAAACTCCACAAAAAACCTCGAGTTAGAAAAACCCTGTAGGCTAAGCGAGGGCTCAGGGCTTGGGACTTGGAGCCGAGTCCTTCTCGGAGTCTCGGACAGACCCAACTTCCCAAGTTCAACCCAAGGGCTCCCAGACCCCACTCTCGCAAGACCCCCCCACCTGCCCCCGACGCCGTAGGGCCGAAGTCCCGTGCGGGCCAAAATCCCACAGTCTCACCAGTCACCCACCACGATCCCTGTTTATTTATTTTTTATTTTACCACCCCCCACTCCAGTCCCCCACCCCCCCCCCACCCGGCTACCACAGAGTATCCTCTTGGTTTATACTCTCTGAGGGAAGTGTGTGCGCAAGCATTGCTTAAATATTGGAAACCCAGTCTCTGCAGGCGACCAAACTACACTGTTGTTCTCATCCAGTTGATATACACTAAGAAAGTTTCGTCCGCGCGCTAGCTCCGAATAAGATGGCCAAAGCTAAGAGCAAGTATGTAGTGCTTTAGAGCAACTGTGTCAGTGATCGTCTATACGTCAGTGTGCTCACGCGGTGGACTATGTGCTTATGGCCAGCATAGGTCGAGGAATGGATACCTGTATATATGTTTTTATTATGTATTAATGTGTGAATATACGAATATAAATATAAATATATATATACATACACACACACACACACACACACACATATACACACACACACACA